AGCCTCACGTCTTTCTCCACCTCAGAAACCTCCCCAGAGCTTACCTTGTTGAATTCATTCCATTCTTCATTTGCTCCTTCCATAATGTTCTTCTCCTCCTTCCATTCTTTCCTAAACTTCTATCCATTTCTTGATTTTCAGAGCCACCAGATAAAGTAGACAAATAGACATATTGGAGTATATTGTAGAAGCTCGGCTTTGTGGTACTCCTAATTCATTTTTGAATGAGGTTCGTGACTTTAGTCAAGTAAATGTTCGTAGTTTATTTATTTATGCGAATATAGTTTCTTTCTTTTACATTTTAGATTGTTGGTATGACTCATATATTGACAAAGGAAGGAGGCAGGTTGATGCCTGCGAGCGTAGTGGAGCGACCGAGCGAAGTGAGCGGAACGGAGCGAAGTGAGCGGTACGGGGTATTTAAGTAAATTTATACCTTGTAGGGTTTTAGTATAAATACATGGTGTATTGATGTATTTGAGACTATTGAGAATAATAAAGATCCCTCAGCCGCCGTGGACGTAGGCATATTGTCGAACCACGTAAATCTTGTGTTGTTTACTTTCACGTTTTTAATTCGTATGCTATATTGTCATCTACTCTCAACATAGATAATATGGCTCGATGTGTCGAACAGAAAGATCATATTATCGTTGTTTTGTAAAAAATAACTATTTGTTCACAGCCTAGAAGAAATTAAACTAACTATCGTGAAAAGTTGTAGTGTGATCTTGAATTAGTTGGTCTTTGACTAATAAATTACACTAGTACATCTCGGATGTATTGGACATACCTACAGAGGATAATATTACTTTGTACTGACCAAGTAAATAATGTAGACTTCAGTAATTGTTGCGTTATCTTCATCCGTAAGACAATAAACGGGCATATGCATTCGATACTCATTTACTTGAATTATCTTGAGTAAGACCTATTCTGGTAGGTTGACAGACTTCATGCTTTGGTAAATAATGTCGAGTGTATAATATGCCGTAGAAATTGAGTACGGTAACTGTATCTTGGTTCGACGGGTTGATGATGTCCGCGAAATGGCTCAAGAAGAATTATTATGTCAAGTTCAGTCAGCGGATTAAATTCCGACATAATAATAAAGAATTGACTGGTACTAATTTCGAATTAAGAAATTAATTATTTATATTGTCAGTAATTAATTAAACAACATACGTTACTTCTTAAATATATGGAGATAAATCGAGCAATTAGTTGGGAGACGAATTATTTGTAATTCGATGGCTAAAGGGGGAGCTCAATAATATTTTTATAATAGTATTTAATATTATTTAACTGTGTGCGGAATGGGCCACGCCCACAGTTGGATGCACAATTTTAGGGTCCCTATAATATTATTTAACTGTGTGGGGAGCCTGTATTTAGCATCATCTTAGGGTTCCTGTTATAGCCTAGAAAATACACCAAGTCCCCTAGCCTCCAAGAATATGATTCTCTACGTCCATAACCACGTGAGAAACAAGATTTCTCTCATTGAGAATTTAGCCAAAAACCGAGAGGTCAATAGGAGAGAAAAAATTATGATGCGTTGGGAGATCCGACAAGTCGACCACTACGACGAATCAGAGTAGACGATTGATCATACATCAGAAGATCCCAAGGTCTTGTTTTCGCATTCAAGGGAATAAATATGCCTCCGCGGCACCTCATGAGATCATGAAACTTGGAGAGCACCACCACTGGAGGCCAACGCAACCACCGGTGTGATGAGTCACTAGTGTAGCCCCATGCGTCACCGCCGGTTCCACACGCGCTGCCAGACGTGACCGGCAGCCCGCAGGCGATCGCATAGACGCCACACAGAGCCCGCAACGAAGTGTGCAGCCAGAAAAAGACCTCGCTCAGGCAGCAGACAACCTTGCACGACCCGCGCGAGACCCGCGTACATTATGCGCATCCTGCGCAACCCCGATGCACATCATCACGTGAGACCACATCGACGGTTAGCGGTCAGTGCCTAGACCGCGCGACCCTCGGCGACCAGTACCCAAACTGCGTGACTCTCGGCGACCAGTGAGCCAGAATGTGCCGTGCTCAGCGACCAGCCATCTGCCAGCACCAGCAACATCCCAGGTGCGCACCAGCGCGCACGGTCAGGCATAAACATGCACCAGGTGATTCTCGACGACTGGCAACAGCGTGAGACTCTGAGGAGTTACGATCAACAATCCGAGGAGGCAACCCAACGACAGCAAGGATGTGCAGTAAGGTACGTAGGCTAGATAATGCGTCTCAAAACTATTCATCCAGCCCCGTAGGTCGTGTATTTTTGTACACAGTTGACAAAATTTTAAGTTGTAAGTCGTAATCCTAACTATAAATTCCACTGTGTTGGGATTTATTTTTAATATATTTAGATGTGCACATCGCCGACGTTCCTCATAGAAACCAACAAGACACACATTCTCCTTCATAAAGTTGGTTTTGGAGTATTTGTTGACCTCATCCACCAATCTTGGAATCTGCAGCCTATGATTAAGAATATTCTAGCTCCGCCAAT